TGCACCAGGATGAACTTATGGAACTTATGGAACTTGTGTGCTCGCTCAATATTCCTTACCTAGGCTCTGGCGCCCCGGGCGGTTCCCCCAGTATCCGCCCCGCGGTTCCCCCAGTTACGTCCCCTTAGCTTAGCGTTGCTGATCTCATCTTAGCTCAGCTTAGCTTAGCTGAGCTTAGCTTCATCTTAGCTTCGCCTAGCTGTAGCTTAGCTTAGCTTAGCTTAGCTCAACTTAGCTTAGCTTAGCGCAGCGCAGCATTAGCATAGCATAGCATAGCATAACATATCATACCATAACATATCATAGCATAGCGCAGCATAGGATAGCGCAGCATAGCATAGCATAGCATAGCATACCGCAGCATATCATACCATATCATAGCTTAGCTTAGCTGATCATCGCGCAGCGCAACATAGCATCGCATAGCATACCATATCATATCATACCATATCATATCATATCATATAAAACCATCACATATCATAGCGCACCACAACACATCATAACATATCATAGCGCAGCATAGCATATCATATCATATCATAACACATCATATCATATCATAGCATAGCATAGCGCACCATATCATATCGTAGCATATCATATTATAGCATATCATATCATGTCATAGCTTAGCTTAGCTTAGCTTCTCTTATTTTAGCTCAGCTGTATATGTGGATGTATATGCAGATGTATATGTAGGTGTAGATGTGGATGTAGGTGTAGATGTAGATGTAGATGTACACGTATATTTAGATGTAGATGTAGACGTGAGTGTATGTGTAGATGTCGATGTCGATGTAGATGCATGTGTACATGTATATGTAGCTGTAGGTGTAGATGTGGATGTAGGTCTAGATGTAGATGTAGGTATTAAGCTGTCCTATGACTACTACTACTACTACTACTACTACTACTACTACTACTACTACTACTACTACTACTACTACTACTACTACTACTACTACTACTACTACTACTACTACTACTACTACTACTACTACTACTACTACTACTACTACTACTACTACTACTACTACTACTACTACTACTACTACTACTACTACTACTACTACTACTACTACTACTACTACTACTACCACTACTACTACTACTACTACTACTACTACTACTACTACTACTACTACTACTACTACTACTACGACTACGACTACGACTACGACTACGACTACTACTACTACTACTTCTTACTACTACGTCTTACTACTACTACTACTACTACTACTACTACTACTACTACTACTACTACTGCTACCGCTACTGCTACCGCTACTGCTACAACTGCGACGATGAGAAGAAGGTTACTACTAATATTGCTCTCCTCGGGGCTCCAACTCCTAGGTAGAGTCGCTCTGGGATAATTAGTTGTGTAATGCTTTTCATCGTGGCGTGGGGGGACGAAATTATCCTGGCGAAGGGCCCAGCCATCTGCAGTTGTGGGTGCCGCAATTGTGAAAATCTCTCTCGGTGAAGCTCCCCATGGGGCCACGAAGCGCTGCGCTGGGTGGGGGGGTGGGGCGCATGCGGGCGGTGGCGCTGGGGCCGTCGGTGGAGCTCTCTATGGGGCCACGACACGCTGTGCTGGGTGGGGGGGGCGCATGCGAGCGGTAGCGCCGGGGCAATCGGTGGAGTTCTCTATGGGGCCACGAAGCGCTGTGCTGGTTGGGGGGGTGCGCGCGGGCTCGCGCGTCAGCCGCGCCATCCAGGCCCGCGCGACCGAACCCAGGGAGGTCCGCTATAATTTTGGCGACCAGGTGGAGATCCACGGGCCCCCGAGCACAAGGGGCGTGTCGGGCTGGGCCGGCTCTGAGGCGGTCGCGTCTGAAGACCTGGCTGGAGGGGGGGTGGCGGTCGAGCGCCGCCGAGCCGATGCGGCGCGCAGACAGCAGGGCGCCGGGCCCTCCATCAGTGCCGTCTTCGACGACGCGGGCACGGGCTTGGCGCGAGCTGGCGTGGCCTGGGGCTGCGTGGAGGACTGCCGGGGGCGCGTCGCTCCAGTTTCTGGGGCCAGGGCCTTCGGCCAGTGGGGGGGCGCGAAGGGTGTGCATATCTCTGAGCAGACCCGAGAGCGCTCCGACATCCTCAAAGGTCTGCGCCATCTCTGTTTCAGATGCTCTCAGCTGCCAGACGTTCGTGCCACTCGTTTGATGCGCGGCCAGACGTCTGTGGGCAGCTGGCCGGGCTGCACCCGCAGCCTGGCTAGCTGGTGGCCCCCCGGGAATCCGATCGACATCCAGCAGATCCACCTTGGCGGTTTAGATTCGACGCCCATCAATTCATCGGCGAGCACTGCAGGAAGGGAGCTCGCGTCACTTAGTCTATCCTGGTTGACGAGCCACTGCCGGTAGCAGACGCTGGACAAGACCTAGACGGATCGTTCGATGATTGCGTTATCGACGCGCCTCAGGCCGCCGCAAGCATCGCCGAGGGAGGTGCGCCATCGGCCAGGTTTGCTATGCCAGAAGAGTCCAAAGGCGACTTCTCTAGGCACATCCAACCAGAGATTCTGGCAGCTTGGCGCGAAGTCGACGCGGCGGAATACCTGGCTCAGGGGCTCGAGGAGCTAGAGGGCGCCGACGGCCAGCGGGAGAGCTGTGTTGCCGTCGCGCACGTAGCCGACAGGTGCCAGTCTACGAGAGCCACGACGGAACACTGATTGTTTTTACTGTTTCAAGCGGGGCACGGGCTGCAAGGATGCGCCCCGAGCCTTCTCCATGAAGCTCGCCCAGGTCACGCGCTCACCGCTCGCCAGAGTGCAGCGCCGAACGTGCCAGGTGGGGCCTTGGCCCAGAGCTTGGTCAAGCGCGAGACGTCTGCTGCCGTTGGCATCAGTGGTTCAGAGCTAGTGCCCATGTTGTCCAATGTTGTCCAAGCATGTTGAAGATCTAACGACCGCTGGACACAAGGGGCACGTCGACCGGCTAACTAGCCATCTCGAGATTTTCCCCGGCAGAGTGAAAGGTGACTTCGATGTTTGCGCCAACTGCGGAGCGCCCCAGCACCGCAGTGCCGATGGCGCCGCGACGCTCGACCAGGGTGGGTACGTCGACGCACTGATACCGACCTGGTCAATGCCAGGGCTGGCGAGCCAGTCGGAAGTGTGCTCTCAGCCCTCCTTGTTTCCCTCTTGGGGGCAACGGCATGCGCCCTGTTCGCTTGGCGCCGCGCTGCCGCGTGCGTCGTCGCCCTGCGAAGGGCCGAGAACGAGCTGCTTCTTCCACGCGTGATGCAGCTCAACTCAGTTGGTCTGGCCGCGCGAACGATAAATGCACGCGTCGCACGCCCGGCCACGGGGCGCGCCGGACGACTCAGCGCGCGCCGCGACGGGCCATTCGAGAGCGAGGATGAGACAGGGTGCGGCATGAGGGCAGCCGCGTGCGTGCGTCTTGGCGAGCGCCGCCGCACCAGCAACCAGGTGTGCCTCGCGTTGGACGCAGTGAGCCGATCGCGCAAACTGGTGCGCGGATCCTCTCTCGGCTCCGAGCTGCTCGCAGCGCGCGGCGCAGCCGACGGATTGTGGGCGCGCCACTCCGCGATGGTGCGGTGCCTTGCCTTTTTCGTGGCTCGGGGGGGATTTTTAAGCTATTCCTTCGGATCTCGTCATCGGCGGCATGTCCGTCCTCCGGCGCGGCCGCTTTCCGAGAACCGCATGGCGGGCCGCCTGTGGTGGTTAGCGGACCAGCTTCGCACCGAACCCATCGAGGACCTACTCTGGCGCGACGCTAGGGACATGGGCTGGCCCAGTGACCAAGGGCAGCATGGGCCTTGAGCTCACCCTCGACGCGATGGACGGCCAGATCGACATGTTCGAACGGTATATGTCCTGTTGTTTTTCGTTCAATCCTTGCCTGCGTGTTGTCTTTGTCCCCCCTGCCGTTTGCGCCCGGATCCGTGCGTCGCGCCCGCTATAATACTTGGCTCGCACTCGCCCTACGACAAAAAATAGTTATGTAGTTTTTGGAGGTGCGTCTTGGTGGCCTTGGTGAAGTCTCGCGTCGGGGGCTTCCTTCGCTGATTTTGATGCGCTGTTTTGGCAGCCCGCTGGGCCGTTTTGAGGCCCTCTTGGGTCGTTTTGACCCCATTCGTTAGTCCTGATTGTCTTCGGGGGACATTTTTGGCAGTCTTTCGTTGGACGTTTCGGGCCCTCTTTGGCCGTCAGCGGAACGTTTCCGGCCACAGTGGGACCCTTTTCGCGCTCTATTGAACGCTGTTGTCTTGGAAGTATATTGGGGGCATGGACGACCGATAAGACGACACAACGGAACATTGTCGAACACCTCATGAGAATGGTTCTGGGGGCGTGTTGAAGGTCCTTCTTGGGGCCTCATGGGGTGCATTGGATGCTTCTTTAGCTGTTTTGAGGCCATGAAACGGAGGCTTCCTGGGGTCATCTTAGGCTATCTTGGGCTCTGTTTTTTTTTGGGGGGGGAACCAGTTGGGGCGGTTTTCGTGGCCTTTTCAGCCTTCCTGACAGCTCGGCGGCGCCTGCATGGAAATCCTGGGGCAATCGAAAGCGACCAGGAACTTGAGATACCCACCCGTCCTTTCTCTTAGGCGTTGCACGCCCTGTGGTAGACACTACAGTAGGAGACGGGACTGGAGAGGCGAAGGACAGCTCAACACATAGCAAACAACGTAAGACAACAAGCGCTTTACAGAGCAAGGACAGCGCAGCTTATATCTCTTGTTCGTGCATTTTCCCCTAACTCATATCTGCCTTTTCGTTTTTTTCTTCCACCTCTGACCCGTCGTCCTCCCCCTCCTGTCTCCTCCCTCTTCCCTCTTCTTCACCCCCTCCCCGTTTAACCCTCCAAGTCTCTTCCTACACGCTGTCAACATCCTTCCAGTTTGCCCCTCCCCTTGTCTCCGTCGGCTCCTCCTCTTTCCTTCGGCTGTAGCCTGGGCAGCGTTTTTTTTCTCGCGTAGCGATTTTCGTAGCGCGCGCCACCCCCCCGCGCGCCGCCGCCGCTGCGTCTTCGATGATCCCATGCCCAGACCCCCGACGACTCGATATTTTCTAGTCGGGTCCTGTCCTCTCGACCCCTTCTTTGGGACAGGCCTTTCATTCCGATCCGTTGTATGTGACGGCCCTGGGGCCAGAGCCGAGAACACAAAACCAGAGATTCGATACAGTCCAGTATGATGGGTAGGTCGACCCTGCTGTACTTCTGTCCTGTCCATCGCGTCTCGTGTGCTTCGTATGCCTGGAGCACGGTGGCTGCCCTCGAGAGAGACCCGTGTCTTCCCGGAGTGCCTTCTGCAGCCGGAGGCCCGACTGTATTTTCGAGTCAGTCTGGAGGTCTGTGGTCCTCTCTTGCTCACAGCCGGGCGCCATATGCTGCGAGCCCAGGCGCCCGGGCGGCGGCGCATATCCGCGGTGGGCGTACAGGCATCCCATGCCTTGTCACCTGGCGCTTCGATCTGTTGGATGCGTGGGCCCCTGTTGGAAATCTGGACCTGTGGGCCGAGATGTTTGTTTGCACGGCCCCAGGGCCAGGAAGCGGCATCCAGATGCCGAAGCCTGCGAAAAGCTGCCCGCCATGATTCTGTCGCGACGCGAAGATGCGTGATATCTGGGTAGTTGACGCTCCCCGACAGGCGCCCCGGCAGCGCACCCCCGCGCCAGTTGCGCGCGCGCAAGCGCTGGGGCGCGGCTGCGGCAGCGGGCCCCCGGCTGGGTGTTTGGCGCCGCGGGCGCCGCGGGCGCGCTGGCCCCAAGAGGTCTGGGCTGGGGCGGCAGGAGGCTCTCGGGGCGTGACGGGGGTCAGCGCTATGACATGGTCCTCGACTTCGGATGGGTTCGTTTTCCCTGGTTAGCCAGCTTGATCGTGAGGGCCCTATCGAATACTCTTCTGGGGCCGGGTGTGAGCCTCTCCTGATCCGGATTCGGCGGCCCGTGGTCTCCCATGTGGTCTTCCGTGTGGTCTCCCGTGCGATCTCCCGTAGGGTCTCCCGCATCGTTTCCCGTGTGGTCTCCCGCGTGGTTTCCCGCATTGTCCCCCGTAATTATGTGAGAAGTAATTACAAGGGCAACTCTGTCTTTGCACATCTTCCGCCGTTTCGGCCTTCGTGTTTTTTTTTTCCGTGCCCCAGGGCCATCAACCATTGATCGAGGGCGGAAGCTGTCCTCCAGGAGGATGTCGGGCATTCTGGGGCCCGCGGATTGAACATGAATCCGTCGGAAGTCTGGGGCGGCGACGCCAGCGTTCAAGGTAAAACGCCGCCAATGGTCTTGGAATTGGCCGATATCGAACGATTTGCGCTTCCGGAGCGCCGCGACCGTTCAAGGTGTAGATCAACGCGGTGTCAGAAGCAATCGCCAACTTGGCCGCGTCACGAACCTGCCGTAATGGGGGTCTGCGCCAATGGGACCTCCAATCCCCGCCGATCCCCTGTGGCTGACTGTGTTTTGGGAGCCTCGTGGAGCCGACCCCTTGTGGTTGTTATGTATATTTCAGCCTTCCTGCCTCCTGCTCCTCCCTCTCACCTCCCTGCCCCGCGGCCGTCTCGCTTCGCAAGGGCCCTTGTGTCGTGTGGCGCGCTGGCAGCGGGCGCGCGCGAACCACCGTAAAGGAAAGAGAACGTGCTCTCTCTCAGCACGGGCCCCTCTATGTGCACATCGCGACTCTTTGTAAGCAGTACAGATGTTATAGTGCATTCCACAGTGGTAGCGGACCCGGCGTGGCTCCGATCCCGAGGGAAGTCAGGAACGCTCTCATTGTCAGTCGACTTTCGAGTGACACAACCCAGCACGGGCAATAATAAAACATGGCCCCCTTGAGACTTTTTATTTCCCAACCATCCTGTGGTGTTGGGTCCTCGTTTTGAAGAAACAGTGCCCCGCGTCTCCTCCTTCCTCCTTCCTTCCTTCCTCGTCCCCCTCCTCCTCCCCCTCCTCCCTCCTCCCCAAGCGGTCCGAGCTGCTTGCGCACAGAGCGCCGCTTGCCGCGCCGCCAGGAGGACAACCTGGTGGAGTTTCCCAGTCGTCGGGCGAGGTGGGGCCTTCGGCGGGGGGATGCAATGTCTTCTCTCCGTTTCCTGGGCTTCAACCCGTTGTGGGCGAGCGGCGATCGTGTGAGTGAGATAGTGGGCGAGACCAGAAACTTTGACGCAGTGGCTTTGGCAGGGACCGAGTGTGTGGATCATCCGCAGCAAGGTTTGCGAGTTCTTAGACAACGGTATGCAGGGCGTTTGGTTCTTGAGTCGCCGTATTACAACTCGCCGTACAGTAACAACAGCCGCGGGTGTGCATTGGGATTTGGTTGTCATTTTCGAGAGCATAATATTATGAGAACGTGGGTCAGTCCCCCATGAGGCCCGAGGGAGAGCGCTGGCAGCCAGAGCAAAAAACGGTCAAATCGATATATGTCCTACGGTGGTGTATTTTCTTCCACGTCCGAGGTATCGCGCTCATCGGCCTCAGTATTTTTGCTACAGTGCGTCTCTTGGTGGCATGGCTTTCAACGGTGCTGAGCGAACTACCACATAGGTGTACCCCGCTGCTATATTGTGATCTCAACGATGGTATTGGTCAGTCTCGTGGACCCCATGGGTGGGGAGATGTTGATTCAACGGTGGTAATAGATGTCCCCACGCAGGAGCAGTTTCCTCGACGTGCAGGACAACTTCTTAGATAATGTATGGAGTCCCACTACATGGTGGCGGGCAACACGGCTGGCCAGCTACAACAGCAAGCGGCTCTGAAGAGCAGAGTTTTAGCAGAAGTTTGACCAGAAGGAACGCGAGGAAGTTCTGGCCCGCGACCAGGATGTTGCGGCCGTGGGCGCGCATGTGGCAGAGACGTTGGTGGTTCGCCATCGGCGTGCGAGGTCTCCTAAAGTCGCTGTTCTCAGACGACGCGAGCGTCTGGTCTCCTGAGCTCGGCTGGTCGGCTGGCCGAGTACTTCTTCTCGGCAAGCGCCAGCGACCGCTGACCGAGGGCGCAGTCGATCAGTGGAGAACCAGGAACAGGAGACGTCGTCTGGCCCAGGAGGCAGAGAACAAGGGCAAGTCCGACAAGGGTGACGACGCGATGGGCATCGACTCAAGCGGAGACGACAGCGAGCACGAGGGGCCCCGGCGGTGGACGGCCGACTGACGACGTGGTCTATTTCCTAGCTCTGAAGAGCCGAGTTTAGCAGAAGCTTGACCGGAAGGAGCGCGAGGAAGTTCTGGCCCGCGACCAGGATGTTGCGGCCGTGGGCGCGCATGTGGTAGAGATGTTGATGGTTCGCCATCGGCGTGCGAGGTCTCCTGAAGTCGCTGACGACGACGCGAGGATTGCTCTTGTGTGCAACGCTTTCGTTAGCCACGCCGTCGGCAGCTTTTTCGGGAGTGTGCCGATGAGGATGACTACTCGTCGCTCTTAGCTTTCGCTGTCATGTGCGCGGAGCAGGCAGATGGGGGGCCCGCGGATGACCCGCCAGTCGACCCGAAAGGTCCGAACAGCCCCATCCAGCATATCGTCTCGGCAACCTCCAGAATCCACCGGCGTGGATCCAATAAGTGCCGAAGTTCGCTGGCCAGATGGACGTCGACGACTTGTCGGATATCGGGAGGGGCCTTTGGCGCGAGCGCGGGGGTGAACCTTGGCGCCGCTATCGACGAGAGCTGGGGGGGGGGCTAGTCAAGGAGGGCGAGCTGGTCATGGCTAGCTTCTGGGGCCGCTACATCGAGATTGGCAACCGGGGCCGGTGCGAGAAGGTGGAGCGCATCTTCGACAGTGCTTTGAAAACTTCCAATGCGGTGGAAGCGTCGAAGAGGCGCGCTGACATTAGGCCGCAGGGAGACGAGGAGATCTAGGGGGCGATGACCGCCGCCATGAAGCTAGAGTAGTACCTGTCCGTTCCCGAGCACCTCGAATTATCCCGGGTGGAAAACGGAGGGCCCGGTTGCCATTGGGCCGGCAGAGCAGTGCATCAGTGTGCGCTGGAAGAAAAACTTCAATATTGTTAAGACAGAGGGCCGCTTATGGAATGCCTGTGTCAAGGCTCCCTTGTCTAAGGTTGTGCCTCGTGCCGCCATGACTGCATGGGGCGCCATCTTGCTGGTTATTCGATTTGGGATGCTAGACTCGAGGGCTTTTCCGCTTTCGCTCGGGACCATCTGTTCGACAATGTTTAAGGACTTCTTGAACGTGGCCCGACTGTGCATCCCACGGGGCAGCGATGGCCCATGTGTTCGGAAGTGACTGGCGCCAGGGACATGATGCGTGCTGCCGTCCACCGAGCCTTCGCTGACAAGGGCCCCGACTTCGAGACGGCTTATCGCGGCGCCAATTTGACAGCTCCTGCTCCAATTTGGGGCAGTCGCGGCGGGCGTGCTTCGAAGCCGGGGCCTTTCAGCGCTGAGGAGGTGCTTGGAGTCTACTGCGAGGCCAGCGTCGCCGCGGCAACAGCGCTCGCTACATGGTTCAAATGTCCTCTGATGCCGATCCAGAGATGGGCCGTTGCTCCTGCATTTTCGAGATGCAGGTCGGTCGGGGGCGTCGGGCGCGCATTCCCGGGCGGCGTGTCCATCGGAAGTGGCGCCAAGATGCAGGCCGCGCTTGCGTCGCGAAGGACTGGGTCCACGCTGCGACGATGAGGGGGATTTGCGACGCGATCCAGGGAGCGGAGTCTTTTTTTGGTGCTTGCGGATTGTACAAGCTATGGGATCGGACTGTCAGGATATACCTTGCAGCCCAGTATTTGTTTGTTTGTTTGTTTGTTTGGTTTTTTCTTTCGCCCCCCCCCCGAGTGGGCGCGCGTGTTCGGGCGACGGCCCGATCGAGGATGCCGACCTGGAGTTGTCTTCCAGGGCATGAGCGGTGGCTTCCGCTGTGGACCATCGAGCTCTTTGCCGCTGCCCGCCCCCTGGAGCGCACGGGCCCCCCCTGCTGGCCGCCCAGTTCCGAGCCGCCGACCTTCAAGAATGACATGGGTGAGTCAGCGGGCGAATATGTGTCGGCCTTGGCGGTGTGAACGGTAATGCCTGGGAAGATCCTTGCCAATGGGCTTTTCCCATGGGTTTCTTTGTTCGCCTGTCTGGGGCGGCCGCATTTCGCGCGGATGACCTGGGGGCGACCTTCGAGGCGAGGGCATCGGGATCGATGGCTACGGCTACGTATGAGAAGCTCGAGCTGAGCTGAGGCTTCGGCTGGATCTTCGGCCGAAGCAAACATGCTATGAGTTTTTTTTCTTCGGCATATATATATATACATATATATATATATGTATATATACACACATGCACACAATATTGCAGCGGCGATTCGCGCCATGCACCTTGGTCCTTGAAGTTTTGGCAGGCAGGCGGAATAGCAGGGAGGTCAAATCGACAATGTAGCGATAACTCCTGGTTGCCTTTCCCGGCATCGCCGCTATAATAATGTTATTCGTTATCCTTCCTCCATGTTTATTTTTCCTTATTTTCGCCATGCCCTGCGCATTCTCCCCATCCTCCTCAGCTCTTTTTTGAGGGGGCTCCTCCTTGGAGAGCCTCTAGGGGCCTCACAAAAGTTGTCTCAGGCATTCTTAAGGCCTTCTGGAGGCCTCCTGGGCGTATTCTGGGGGCCTCTGGGGGCTTCCTCGGGCCGCACTGCCTCCAACCGCGGTCTCCCTGAACGACCGAATCACGATTTGGAATTCTTCGGAGCATTTTGGACCGCCATGGGGCTCTCTGAAGGCCATCTTGGGCCTGTCTTGTGCCGTTTTGGGGCTCTCTTGGACTGCCTGGAAGCCCTTGCGGATGGTTGTGGGGCGATTCAGGAGCCTCCCAGGCGGCTTCGGACGCCCAGAAGACTGCCTGCCGTCTTCGAGCGTCGGGAAGCCGAAAAGAGGACAACCCCAACATTCACCAAAAGCTTTCAGAACATCAATTATTTTTGCCGCGGGTGCCTTCTTGGGAATGCTCTTGGAGGCCTCTTTGGGGCCGTCCTGGAGGCCTCTTGGGCCATCTTGAGGTCACGTCGGTCACTCTTGGAACGCTCTTGTGCTGTCTTGGGGGTCCCTGGGACGTCTCCGACGCCCCCCCTGATCGCCTTAGGTGTGCTGGGAAGGCTTGGCAAAACGCCCTGCGAGGCCCGGTGGCCGCTTCGAGACCCGTCCCGAGGGTCCCAAAGCCCCAGATCCCGGGAGTCCGGTTTTGGGGGGGCTGACGGGTTTTCCCCCCGCCTGGGCTTGCAAAAATATAGGAAGAGGATTATGTTTCAGCTTTCCTGCCTCCTGCGCCTCTTTCTCACCTCCCCGCCCCGCGGTCGTTTCGGATCGCAGGGACCTCCGAGCTGTGTGGCGCGCCGGCAGCGGGCGCGTGCGACCCCCCGTAAAAATAAAACGTTTTTTTTGTTTGTTGTTTCTCTTTCTCTCTCTACCACGGGTTTCTCTATGTATGTGCACATCGTGTCCCCATGTAATTTGTCCAGCCACTACAGACAGAGCGCTCCACACCCCCACCCCCCTTCTCCAATCCCCCCGTCGATCCCCTGTGGTTGATTGTGTTATGGGAGCCTCGTAGAGTCGCCCCTCCTCCCTCTTTTTCCGTTGACCGGGGTTGAAAGTCCATCTGGTGGCAGGCCTTGGTTTGAGACGCGGCGCTGGTTGGCCTTTTTTTTATCGCGTAGCGCTGACCTGGACTATCGCGCCGCCGAAGGCTCGCCGCGCGAGCGCGGCTGGAGGCTCCGAGGATAAAAAATGTTCGGGTGGAGGTTGTTTCTCGTTTTTGACGATTCCTTTGGGGCCCGGGGCCGCCGGAGATCGATCCAATGAAAGTTGACCAAGATAGACCCTGGGAGGTGTCCAGGGAGTGAGTTTTAACGGACTCCGGGGTCTGGGGGAAGAAAGCATAAACACCGATATTCAAGGCCTATTCAGCAACCTTCAGGATGCAGCGTGGCGTCTTTTATCATCCCTCCCCCTCTCGCTTCGTCCTCCCTTCCGTCCTCGTCGTTATCGTCGGCTTCGCTGTCGTTGTCGACGCTTTTGCAACACAGCGTGGCGTTCCTCACGTCCTCCCCGTAGGTTTACGATGCCTTTCTGGCCTCCCCGTGCGCGCCGCGAGACCTCCACGGCCCACCCCGTGACAACAACATCACGACGTCGGGGTCTCTAGAGAATTCCCTGAGATCCGACGTCGCGAAAAATGCAAACCTGAAGACCCACGACTAGAGCACTAGACAAGACCCCGTTTTCTGCGGCATTTCTCGGATCGTCTAGATCTGTGATGGCCACATGACCGGGAATCGGCCAGAAACGTTTGGTGTGAACAAGTCGCGACGCAAGGATGTCAAGGTCTAGACGGAGACACGGGAGAGGCCCAGAGAGCGGCCGCTTCTTTCCATACAGGCCCCCTGGAACTCCCGACCGTTTCATAGTAGTTATTTTGGCGGCTCTGGGGCCCGTGACCCCCTCAAGAGGCTAAGAATAACCGACGACCGCTCGTCGCGTTTCTTTCCGGACGTTTGGGGGGGTCAGGTTTTTTGGGGTCTAGCTCATGGGCCCGATGGACCAGTCCAGGTGTTTGTTTTGCTTCGCATGTCGAGGGGAATCCAGCCTTGGCGACGCGGACGCCTCAGCTGAAACATGGGGCATCGAACCTCGTTCTTGTCGATCTGCTCCCCCAGGAGGCGGCCGACCGGGAGTCGCGCCTGCGTCTGCTGGACGCGCTGGGGGCGGCGCTGCAGCTGGCCGAGAGGAGCGGGGGGGGCCCCCGCATCGACCTGGGGCCCGCCCAGGCTGACGATGCTCGAGCCCAGCTCGGGTCCCTCCCCTGCATCGGACAACACACTGGGACGGCGCTTTCACAAAGGTTTCGGCGTTCGGAGCCAGCTTTCGCAGTCTGGGGCAGTCAGAGCACTACTCGGGATGAGAATCTGGCCCTTGGGAAGTCGTGGTTTCCGGTGTAGTTACGTGACCGTGCCGAGTGGCCCCTGAACTCCTGAATATCTCGCTGTTCTCTACCCGCTTGCTCTTCTCCTTTTCCCTTACCGCCGCAATTTGCGTTGTTCCTATATCGTAAATCAAAACTCACATATGTGCCTTTACGTCGGGCTATCAACCAACTCTTGGTTTGATATCCAGCTGCGATTGCACGCGTGAGCGACGATGTCGCGAATGTATGCGACCTGACACCACCAACCATCGAGAAAAGTGGTCGACCAGGCAGGACGACTGTCCTCAGGGCCCAAATGCAGCAGTTCGCTATCGCGCCCGTGAACGCATCGGGCGCTTCCGTTTGCTTGTCGTACACCCCAGAGCAGCGAACTGCATATCTGATGATAAGTTGGTTTGAGAACTCGCAGGGGCACATTGTCCACTGCAAGCAAGGCATGCGCAGCGGAGTTTGTGAAGGCAGAGTGCCATCCTGGTATGCAGTGCCCACGATGTGCGGGACTGAATTTCAGAGAGGGGAAATGCAGATGGGAAGGCTCAGGTCGGCAGAGCGGCGACCAGGACCCCCGCCCAGGATCCCCCGAACGATTCAGGCCCCAGGCCATTGGCCCATATGCGAGGGGTGTGCCACAGCCCCCGGAGTACCAATCCATCATTTCGGGCGTTTGTGGGTTCGGCTAAATTCAATTTTGCCTATGGGTGCGCCGAGGAAGACGCGGAGATCGTATCGGGCAGCCCCCGACAGTTTTCGCCAATGAGAAACGACGATCTTATAAGCTGAGGCCACATCCACTGGCCCCTTTGTAAACTACGGCGCTCCCACGTAGTAGTAGTGGTAGTCGTCGTAGTAGTTGTATTGTCGTAGTAGTAGTAGTAGTAGTAGTAGTAGTAGTAGTAGTAGTAGTAGTAGTAGTAGTAGTAGTAGTAGTAGTAGTAGTAGTAGTAGTAGTAGTAGTAGTAGTAGTAGTAGTAGTAGTAGTAGTAGTAGTAGTAGTAGTAGTAGTAGTAGTAGTAGTAGTAGTAGTAGTAGTAGTAGTAGTAGTAGTAGTAGTAGTAGTAGTAGTAGTAGTAGTAGTAGTAGTAGTAGTAGTAGTAGTAGTAGTAGTAGTAGTAGTAGTAGTAGTAGTAGTAGTAGTAGTAGTAGTAGTAGTAGTAGTAGTAGTAGTAGTAGTAGTAGTAAGTAGCAGTAGCAGTAGCAGTAGCAGTAGCAGTAGTAGTAGTAGTAGTAGTAGTAGTAGTAGTAGTAGTAGTAGTAGTAGTAGTAGTAGTAGTAGTAGTAGTAGTAGTAGTGTAGTAGTAGTAGTAGTCGTAGCAGTAGTAGCAGTAGTAGTAGTAGTAGTAGCAGTAGTATCAGCGTAGTAGTAGTAGTAGTAGTAGTAGTAGTAGTAGTAGTAGTAGTAGTAGTAGTAGTTGAGCCGTAGTAGCAGTAGTTGTAGTTAGTCGAGTAGTGTAGTAGTAAGTAGTAGGTAGTAGTTAGTAGTAGTAGTCAATAGTAGTAGTAGTAGTAGTCGTAGTAGTAGTTAGTGTTAGAGTAGTAGTACAAGTAGTAGTAGTAGTAGTAGTAGTAGTTGTAGTAGTGGTAGTAGTAGTAGTAGTAGTAGTAGTAGTAGTAGTAGTAGGAGTAGGAGTAGGTGTAGTAGTAGTAGTAGTAGTAGTAGTAGTAGTAGTAGTAGTAGTAGTAGTAGTAGTAAGTTGTAGTCGTAGTTAGTATCATAGTAGTAGTAGTAATAGTAGTAGTAGTAGTAGTAGTAGTAGTAGTAGTAGTAGTAGTAGTAGTAGTAGTAGTAGTGTAGTAGTAGTAGTAGAGTCGTAGTCGTAGTCAAGTAGTCGTAGTATAGTAGTAGTAGTAGTAGTAGTAGTAGTAGTAGTAGAGTAGTAGTAGACGTATAGTAGTAGTAGTAGTAGTAGTAGTAGTAGTAGAGTAGTTAGAAGTAGTATAGTAGTAGTAGTAGTAGTAGTAGTAGTCGTTATCGTAGTCGTAGTCGTAGTAGTAGTAGTAGTAGTAGTAGTAGTAGTAGTAGTAGTAGTAGTAGTAGCAGTTCTAGTAGTAGTCGTCGTAGTCGTAGTGGTAGTCTAGTAGTCGTAGTCGTTGTAGTAGTGGTCGCCGTAGTGT